ATCCTGCTTTGGGTCTGCTTCTTGGAGTCGGATTCCGTTCAGATAGCAGGATCGTGCATCAAGGAACGGATTTCGATTTCCCAGACGCAGCAGAGTACATTTGTTCCATTTGAAGGGCAGGGGTCATCTGCGTGACCAATCGTTTAATCGACAAAGAGTTTCCTGGAACTCATCTTCATCGGCAGCCCTGTTGATGACCTTCGATATTTTTACATCGTGACCTTCTATACTTATTTGAGGTTGAGGATCGTCTCCAACAACCATAACGAAGCATTTATGCCAACAGTCGTTAAGCGAACTAACTAACTAAAAATTAAATCAACTATCTAGAGAAAAGTAAACTAAAATAAAAACTAATCCAAAACTTAACAAACTAATAAAATATAATAATGAACGAAAAGTAAACTAAAACGGATCTGAACTATTTCTTCTATATAAAAAAGGTAAGGTTTCCAAGTGGGGTCTTCAAAAGGTCCTTATGTATCATAGCCAACTACTTAAGTGTTTTAAGTAGGTTGAATTACCCATAATCTTCCAGAATTCTACACGCCATCCGTCGATCCAGCAGGGATTTGATGATGGCATTAAACTGCAGAGTGGTCCTCCGAAGGTCACCGCATACCATAACCGCTTAAGTCAGTATAATAAGCAAAATTGGCCTTTTAAATTAACCACGGGAATAATTGCTTACTTACACATTTTAAGTAGGATGATTTCCATAATCTTCCCACCTTCATGTTGCGTTAACCTTTTTTCTAGTTGGTGGTAGTGGTACCACTAGAAAATGGACCTCAATGACCTCGCTCGAGGTTAGGGCGCGCTCCCCCTACATACACGCGTTCGCCGTTGGTTGGGCGGGGATTAGCGATGATATTAAAGCCTATTTCAGTCCCCGCTCAAGGTTTGAGTAACTTTTTTTAATTTACAGGAACATTGCGATCTAATTTGTTCCCTGACATGCCACGCCCGTCCACTCCCTCAAAATCGGGTGCCCGTGGGCCCGAGGGGCGCGCTTCACACGCTCCCCAGGCGGCCCCACAAAGAATCCCTACCATAAAAAATAATATAAACTAACTCTGTACGCTGGGGATAAGTAAACTAGTGCAGATGTTAACTTAAGAGGCAATCGAATGTGGTTAATAAATTTAAAAGGAAAATGCAAGATAAACGAAAACCTAACTCAAGTAAAATAAACTAAACTTATTCAACTGGACGTAGGTTAATTTAACATACATCCTAGTGTTTCCCAACAGCTCACGTGTCTAAGCTCCAGCGCACGCGGCCAGATAGTCGACACGCAAGATTGCTGCCCGGCGTCCTTGTCCGTTGTCGACGATTTCAAAGGTCATGCAATTCTGCACCGCGCGTTTTACGACTTATCGACTGGAAGACAGGTCGACCGTCGCTCTCGACGATGTCCATCACGAGCTTCAGCAGGCTTAAGCAACGCGGTGACTCCCGCGGGATTATATTGAAAGAAGACTTGCGAGGAATCTACCCCACTCTCTGACCACTCCAACACCGGTGTCTGATGTGGGACAGAAGTTGAGTAGGCCGGAGTTTGGGGGAGGGCGTAGGCGGCTGGAGCGACCAACAGCACATCTGGCCAGGTTGGCTCCCGCTTGGGAGCGCCATAATGGCCACATTAAGAAGGAACCATTAAGCCTGACTCTCAGCCCGCTGTAAGCTACTCCATACAAAAAGGTACAGAATTGGCTGACTGCGTTGTCCAAGTTATCCCGTCAACCCTGACAGGCCTCCGCGCCACGGCCTTCAGCGTACCCCGATAACATCAAGCGCATCAGATCGATTACAGCGAGGAAATAAATGCACTGAGGGTCAACCTCACTCTGTCCCTCACCGCCAGCAGCCAGCCACCGCATAGCTGATTGGTCGCCTGAAGTTAGGTCGGAGATAAAAATTGTAGAGCAGCTGTGCGAGGGAAGAACAAATGAAGAAGAAAGAGAGACAGAAAATGAATGAAGAACTAAACCAGGAGAGGAAGCAAGAACGAGAACGAAAACGAACAGTCATGTAAGTGATAGGTCAGGCTGTCTTCCAGCATCGATTCTATATTGGTGACAGCCGGACAGGTCGGTCTTTAGGTGGCTATAAGTGACTAGGAGACTCTACTTCAGCTCAGCAGGCTACGGTTCCCTGCACAGCCGGTCTTACATTGTCAGTTCACGCCTGTGCTCCGATAAGAAGCGTGGAACAGTCATGATATCGAGTACCGGGTTGGTCCAGGCTGCGGACGTGGTTGAAAAAAGCGGACAGCATGGCCTGTACTCGATCGACACCCACTCGGACACACACTGGCGACCAGATAGTCGTAGTTTCCCTGCACATCAAAATTGTATGGAGAGTGAGAGTCCTCCTTATGAACAACAACAGATATTTTCACTTGCTCATCATGTTCAGGTATCCTAGTCACTGACCAGACACCTGACACGTGACCTTGTGAAACGCGCTCTCAGCTGTTCCCAACCGGGAGATCGGACGAACAATTGGTCGTTCCGGTCAACTACTGAAACCCCAAATACTGCTGTTTGTCCATATCGTGTATCCAGGTTGGCAACCGTTACCTTACTTGGCTCCGTATTTTAAGCATGCTCTGTGTGGGGCTGGTTCGAAAGTCAAATTTAGTCTACTGTATTGTATAGGAGTGGTCTGCTTAAAATCATCAAACAAAAACTGTTAAGATGATAAAAAATGAGTTTTAATCATTTGGAGGATCGCTTCCGCCATAGGTATATAGTTAGTATGAGTTCGCCTCGTGAAAAAAGTTAGCTCCGTTTGCTGCGTTCTAAGATACAATACATCTGCACCGCGCTGCACACTCATGACGCGTAGAATCATCATATGTGCCAGCTAGCCACAGGATGTTCTACAACCAACGTGGGCAGATCTGGATCGAAGGCTACCTTCATCGTATTGGCAGCTAAGGTGCACCTTTGAATTATCCAACCGATGAACTGAGACAGGAGGCACATCCGCCAATAAGTGCAAACCACGCTCTGATATCCTCCTAGCTATATATATATCTATAAGGTCAGAAATGAACGCCGTCGCAAACACGTCGCTTTTCGCTTGTCTCCGCCGAGCTTTAGGGGTATAGACACATGCAGATCACAGTGAAGACTCTGGAGGGCATAAGGATATCGTTGAACCTGGAGCCCAACAATACGGTAGCATTTTTGCAAGGACTTATTCGGGCCACGGAGGAAATTGCGCCGGAAGAATTGAAGGAAGCTGCTATGACGCTGGCCGACTACGGTATCCCTGCGGATTCAACCATACACTTAGTGCCCCGTCGAACTGATAAAATGCAGATCTTTGTACAGATGGAAGATGAGAAGGTAACTCTGCAGGTGGAGCCTACAGGCAGTATAGAGGTCGTAAAGCGGAAGATTGTGGGCCTGATGAACATCCCGGTTGAACAGCAACACCTCTTCTGTGAGCTACAAAATGGCAAGATGTTGCCAGACTACGACATCTCGAAGGACTCCTCTCTGCGTTTGCAGAGTGGTGGTGCCATGCAGATCCTTGTGGAAACGAAAATGCGCAATCAGCCTATAAGGCTGTATGTGAGCCCGACCGACAGCGTAGACGCTGTGAAGACGCAAGTTCCAGAGCGGGAGCGGGAGAAGATTCAGGGGTCAGCGAATAATCCGCGCCTGCTCTTCAATGATGTGCAGCTGGAGAACGGTAAACAGATGTCGGACTACAACCTCCCACCGACCCAAGCGCGTTTGCAGTTTCTTGCAAATGAAGACATACTTCTGCGCGTAAAGAAGATTTCCTCCAGCGAGGTGCTAACGCTGGTGGTTGACCCCTGCACTATGGTGGAAGAACTAAAGGCCAAAATTGAAACAGCAGAGGGCATGTCGCCGACTTAACAACTTCTGGTCTTTCTTGGCA